AGCAGATAAGATTTACAAAGTTCCACGAGCTCGGCCTCTTGTTCTATGACAAATGTTTCTTCGTCACGAACGTGAAGGAGTTCGTAGGGTGTTTCCAAATTTTAGTGTCGGTCAGGAAATTACGTATTTTTCACTATGATGTCTCACTTACTAGTTACAGTGGATCTTTCAAATTACTAAAGGTCACTGAATAGATTTAATTTATAAGTGGTAGGTAAGTGAAATGGCATATTTCAAAATTGAAACTTATATTAAAGTTTTAGGATCTAAGCAACGTTACAAAACATGAGAACCTGAAATCCCACACGCACCAGATAACTGTGTTCACCCCGTATTTTCCGCTGCAGCAGGGGTTAGAATACCTTCCTCAGCCTTTCAGCAACAAGGACGACGACTAACTTCTATTTCCCATGCATGAAGACGTTTATATGCTGCATGAATAATAAACGTTAGCTTTCGCCCGCTTTTCTCGATGGTTACAAACACGGAAATTATAGCCACTGTGGCTGGACACTGCGGGGGGTTAGTGCTGCATGAGAAATGGAAACTGACCTTTTTACCACAGGGTGTTTGCAACTCGATAAATAACAGTCTGTTGAGGAAATAATCATTATTATCCTTAACCATGACAGCGATTAATAATAATAATAATAATAATATATTTGGTTTAGAACTATATACAGAGATCTGTGGTCGCCTAACACCAGGTTTTCACGGCCACAGTCCTTACATACGTAGCACTATTAGCACTACTGCTTACTACAACTATTCACTAATGCTACTCTACATGACTATTCCTTAATCCCTAATACTATTTACATAACTCTTTCTTATTGTTCTCGTGCCTTCTATCTCAGTGGCAGTTCTAAATTCCTAATTTTGACCTGTCTTTTACATCTTACTTTGTACAGAAATTTCCCTAAATCCCTGACCTCCGTGTCATTCGTAGTGCTTAAAATTTTCTTGAAGGCCAACTCTTCACCAACGGTGAACCACTTGTTCCTCAGGAGCTGTTCCCTCCACCTCCCGGTTTCCGTACACTTTAATAGTATGTGAATCTCGCTTTCTGTCGCCCCACATAAAGGGCATATTTTTCCATCCATGCCCCCCTCATCCCTCTCAGCTTCCAAATACCCGCTCTGAACCATGCCCATCCCTCCCTCTCCACCCTCGTACAGCAACCAATGTAACCCTGTCTACCCCACCCTGATTTCATCTCCCCGTATTAAGCAATTCCCCTTAACGAGAAAGTTTAGAAGATTCCGTCATTGGACCGTAAGAGATCCAAAATACTTTAGTCCACATCATCATCTCACATACATTTTTAATATTATCTACAAGCCTACGTCTCCAAATTGGTCTGTTCTCCACAGGTTTTAATCTTAAATATTACATGGATAACGTGTTTTAGAAAAAAAAACTGTCCTCCTCAACCTCAAATATGATCATTCTAATAATAAATATTTATCGGAGTGTACAAGTTACGAAAATCCTTTAAGGTTTATTGTGATCTTACTGTTACAAATATAGTTCATATTCCAAACTTAATTGCATATAAATAAATAACTCCTAAATTTATTACATTTATTTACAGAATAATCAAAACAAACATAAAATACGTAAAACGGGAGGATCAGCGGAACACATGCTACAATAATGAACAAAACGGACGAATATATTGAAAGACATGCATTATAATATAAAGTAGTTTTAAAAGACAACACCTGAAGATGATGCTTTGCATCGAAACATGTAGTGAAGTGAATGAAGGCGCTCTATTGTAACATCGTTATAGTGATGAATGGCGCAAATTTAAATTTTAAATTTTAACATTTAAATTTTAAATTTTAACATCTAAATAAAGTTTGTGTATTGACCTGAATTTTATTATATATTTTAATTACGAAAATCCATATTAAGCACTTTTAAATCTCCTCTAGGGTTGCATGTTAGCCAAAACAGTTTCATTAAGTTTAAATTCAATACCTTTAAACTGTTTGCTTTAAAATAAAATTATCTCACTAAAATGAGCCCGTATTAGACGAGTCGTATAAGACCTGTTAATTATCTTTACACGTTGATATTACCCTTCCGTTAGTTCATATAACTTTACGGGCATATTATAATAATTATTATTGCTCGTAATATAACACAAGGTTTCTGTTTAGTTCGTCTTCATAACCAGTGATTAAGGAGCAGTTAGTTAATGCGCACTCCTTAGCGTTCATAATTTGTCTTGTTTCCGCCATTACTCTGCTAGACGTGAGTGAAATACGACCACAGATGGTGCAGGCGTCTGTCGACTGGCATCTCGTACTATTTCTGACGCCATACTGATGACGCCTAGCGTCTTATTCATATAACTTCCTCGACACACAGTCAATTAATGCTATTCAAGTTTGCAAGAGGTACATTCGAAAGTATACTTAAATTCTGGTATTGCTCATATTTAACAAATGTCTGCCCTGTTTTAATTATCACCACTAAAATGGAGTATTAAACTCAGAATTATCATTATAATATTTTGTACGACAGACGTAGTTCAGACATTGTTAACTGCAGACCGTAACACACGAAACACGCGGAAGTAATTATATATATCAGTTCTGGAAAATGTTAAGTGATAGTATAATAACATTACTGAATAATATTGAATTTTCATTGTACATAGCAGGATTCTGTTCGCACAGATTGTTCAATGGAATGCACTGATTTTTGTTCATTAGCATAACTAAATCTTGAACATCAGACCAATTTTAATTGAGATGGTATTAGACACTTGAAGAATTACAGAGAGTAATAGGACTTGGTTTTGAAATAAAAAATAATTCAGCAATTTTGAATTTATATTAAGGAAGAATAATAAATGTAGAATGCTCTACAACCTCGTAGATTGATATTGTGCTTTATCAATTTGTTCTAATTGCCATATATTTATACGTAAAAAGTTAGTAAATTTCTAATTTTTGTGTTTGTTTTCCACACAACAAGAAGTTTCGTAAATCTTTGCCAGTACATTTGTAATTCAATTACGCTTTGTTCATCAATCACTAGTCTGAATCCAGCAGCTGTTTTAAAAAAAGTGTGCAATATTATGACCATCGCTATACCGAGTAACAATTCAGGAAAACTGTCACTAAAATTCTGTATTACGTGTGAGAATATTTTATGTAGGAAGGAATGAATGAGGTCAACTAACGCCATGGAAAAGCGAGCCTGTTCAGAAGACACTAATTGCCTATCAAAGTCTCTCAAGTGATACTTTCTCTTCACGGTTTCTGACTACGATGTTTTGTACATTTCTCACGACTAAATGCTTCGGGAAGAGCAGGTAATTATTTCGATATTATTCGAGCACGAACACACGCTCTGATCGTTAATACGCCATGTTCGCACCTGTACAGATTCTGCGCAACTGTCATGAGTATCGGCCTAGTAACTATAAACAACCTTGACTCGAGCGTCAAGGAAAACACTTGGAGAGTCAACTCACCCTCGGCCAGACAACCTCGAAGTTCCACCCGGAGACAGACTGTACGGCGATGCACGCTGTAGGGCAGCACTCTGACCTTGCTCACGTAAACAGGGGGCATCAGACGGTGACTCACCACGGTCGCTGTGTCGCTGTTGCCGCTCAGAATCTGCAAAGAGACGTCAAATGTCACTGACCTCACCACAATCAAATTACATCGTCAGCCGTTACAATCCGTCATCTTGGGGGATGATATTTGTTGACGGTTACAGAGAAAAGTTCCAAACGGGGCCCTGCCAGACTGTCCTTAATCGCTTTTATGATCACTGAACACAGCAATCCGTGACTAACCGCGAATTTTAGCACCGCGGTTTTCCTTTTGTACATAATCTTGGAAAGGTTCCACCTACATTTCCGACTATATATTATTTTTGTGGGAAGACTCCACCACTTGAGGATCGATCTGTATTCAATGCTACCAGAAATAACAAAGTATTTTCGCGAGTCTGGCAGGGTTCCTGACTTAGATAGCTGAAGTACTGTGATTTTTACGCACAAAAACTCCTATTTTTAGCCAAAATTAAGTAAGGTTAAACGGTAGATGTGCCGTTAGAATTAGGAAACGCGGTGAACGAGCGTAGCTGAAAGATATCCCGTGCTCTGCTGGCACAGGTGTTAAATATCCTCACTGTTTTCCACTTCCAAAACCATTCGTAAGAGTTAGTGCAATATCGGTACCACATACATTAGAACTAAGAATTGAAATACGGTCCACTTCTATTGTATTCTTTCAGAAAATTTCAAGAGCGTACTTGTCATCTTCAGTGACGCTAGTTCATGCGGAACAATTGATATCACCACACCCCTTGACATGTCCTACGTAAGCAATAGGAAACTGAAACAAAAGAAGTATCTAAAGCGGGGCACTATAAGGGTGGTCCAAAAGGGGTGGGATACCACATAAATTAATTACAATATTGAACCAACGCCATTCTTTTCAACCCTTTTGTGTATGTGTCTCAATTATCTCGTCCCTTTTAGTGGCTGCTTCAACTCCTGCAGTCTCCTGTTTCTTTCTGTCTTCTATGCTATCCTACTCGCCTCTGGGTCTTCAAACCTGCCGCGTCCAAAATTTATCTAATTTTACTTCTTATTTGATAGTGGGGTTAAGGAGGTGATATTTGTTATACGAGGAACGTCCACAAAGTAAGTTTCCCACTCGTCCCACAGCTAGCAAACCTTATATTGCGCGAAGCGACTGTGCGTACGTGATAGAGCAATGACGTAGCATGGCGCATGCACTAACGGCACTTCCCGCGTTCTCACAGTAGCATCGTTGCAGCTGTTGAAGATGGAGGTTCTTATTCCAGCTCCCGCCGACTGTGAAGTGCGGTCAGTGATAACGCTAGGCCGCACACGGCTCGACGGACAGCAAGTCTCCTGCAGAAGTTCAGCTGGGAGGTGTTTAATCATCCACCCTACAGCCCGGACCTCGCTCCCAGTGATTTCCATCTTTTCCTACACCTCAAGAAATTCCTGTCCGGTCAGCGTCAGCGTTTTGAGAATGACAGAGAGGCGGAGATGGCTGTCACACAGTGGTTCCAATCCCAGGCGGCAGACTTCTACGACACAGGTATTAAAAGTTGGTCCCACGGTATGACAAATGTCTCAATTCCGGTAGCGAATATGTTGAAAAATAGCTGGACACTTGCTGTATCTGTCGCAATAAATATTTCCATGAAATTGTGTTTTGGTTCTGTAAATGTTTAATCATCCACCCTCCAGCCCGGACCTCGCTCCCAGTGATTTCCATCTTTTCCTACACCTCAAGAAATTCCTGTCCGGTCAGCGTCAGCGTTTTGAGAATGACAGAGAGGCGGAGATGGTTGTCACACAGGGGGTCCAATCCCAGGCGGCCGACTTCTACGACACAGGTATTCAAAAGTTGGTCCCACGGTATGACAAATGTCTCAATTCCGGTGGCGAATATGTTGAAAAATAGCTGGACACTTGCTGTATCTGTTGCAATAAATATTTCCATGAAATTGTGTTTTGTTTCTGTAAACGGCCCCAGGGGAACTTACTTTGTGGACGAGCCTCGTAGTAAAATAGTGTATTATGTAACAGGGACACAGTTCACAATTTAAAAATGTGAAATTTAGACACCGGTTTCTGATCTTCCTAAAAGAAGTGTTCAGTTTCGACATCGCTTGTGATAACTCGCTGGATTTGCTGCAGACAATCAAAATGTCTTATCTACATAGTGACAGATGCTTCTAAACCCTTACATTAAGTGGCGACGTCTGAACTGTGACTGTGATGATGTACGAATCACTAAAATTATTCCTTTATAACTCCAAGAAAAACTCACTGAAATTTCTGCGTACTTTAGCTCTCTGACACAAACTGTCGCATACTCGTAAAGAATCTGTGAACAAACTGTATTTTGGATAAAGCAGATTTCCTCTGCCACGCACCGACAATTCTGTCCCGAGGTCTCAGCTTTTATTCCCCTCACTCTATGTTATATTTTTATTGTTCTCGAGAGGTTTCGTATTTAATGTGATGTATTGTTCTGTATATCAGGCACGCGCTAGGTCCTTTGCATTGCAGCCAACGTGGCTCCGACGGGCAAGTCTGTAAATTTAAACAACCCTAGTTTTCCTTACTAACACCTACTCCAAATTCTATCACTTCACTCCATATATTATTAGAATTAAGATATTTAATATGTACCATGTCCTTACACAGTTAAAATATATTCTATTTTTGAATCTCGGAATATAAAATTGGTCAGTGCGAAGTGTCTGTAAGTAAATATATAATACCATTATGAGGGTACTTCGATTATTTCATATTTTCGACGGAAAATAAATGAGAAATCTAGGGTCGTAGCTGATACTAAGATGGCGTCGTTAATAATGATGATGTTATCGTCGTATAGACACAAATCAAAACCGACTTTGATTTAATCACAGAATCATGTCTGTTCTCTTAGACTTAAAAAATTTGCTGAATAATAACAGTTTCAGTGATGGTTTGTCGATGCTACAATTTAATTATCTAAACCTGCAAATTTCGATAAGTATTTATCGATTCAGTATAAATTATAGTACGTTTTTATCGACGTCTGAAGTAAAAAAAATTCACATTTGGTATCGACGTGAGAATAAAACAGAATCATTTAGAGAATTTTTTCCAAACATCTCCGTAATTAAGAGATTTAATTTGGTAATTTTAATAATTCCGTAGTAATCTCACTTAAAATTTGATCAAAGGCGCAGCGTGTATTTTCTTAGGCGGATTTTCAGGCGTGGAATCCAGAACTTTCTGGAAATCAATTTGGACGGTCACATACAGCTGTACGAAACAAAATTAAAATTCTTAGCCACTTGGACTGTAATACACTCGTGCAGACTCATAAAATCCGTTGCCAATTATTCACTTTCCATTACGGGGCTGTAACGCACCGTAACAAACATCGATAAGGAACGAAACAGAATCCATACAGCACGAACATGTGGTACGACCCTAGCATATACGTAAGATCAATAATATAAAAAAAGCCCCATTTGCAATTTTAGACGTTTTAGTACAACCCATTCCTTACAGTTAAGGTCTCTTAGGAATAAGAAGCACAGGATAAGTACGTACGTATAAATACGGATTATGGTGACCCTTATTCGTTAGGACGACGAAAAAAAGAAAAGAAGGAAGAATGATACAACAGCAGACATTACGATGACGGCAACTTGCAGGAATGTTTTCTAGTCCCCTTCGTTCCATTTTAGTTACCCACCCTGCCCTTACAAACGAACGCTTGGCAGCATCTGGCCGAGTTCCTGGATTGAATTCTTTATACCAAGATTTCTATTACAGAAAAAGAAAAGAAAAGAAAGACAGGGCAGATTTCTGAAGCCGCGCACGAAGAACAGCTGAGACTGCATGCTGTGGATGAAATAAAACACAGCATATTTATGTTGAAGTGGAAAATCCCGCGGAAAATAGCTATATAAAATTGGAATGTATGTCAATAAATCTAAACACTCCTTACTAAATTTTTATAATTCAATTCCAGTAGTATTATACAAGAATCGTTTTTCAATTCTAAAGAGTAGTTTATACTTAAAATTAAAACTTCTTCGTCTGTTCTCTAAAACCACGACGTTTCGGAGGCTGGTTCTGTCTCCGTCTTCAGGTGAGAGGTACCTACTCTGTTGGGTCCCTTAGAACAGACGATGGGAAAAGTCCTGACAATGAATAATTTTAAACGAAAGTAATTCAATTGTAAACGGTTTTGACGACAGTAGTTTACACTTATAAGTATTCATTGTGAGGACGTTTTTCCATCGTCCGTTCTTTAAAACCACGACGTGACAGAGACTAGCTCTATCTAAGGGACCCAACAGAGTAGGTACCTCTAACCTGAAGACAGAAACAGAACTAGCTTCCGAAACGTCGTGGTTTTAAAGAACAGACGATGGAAAAAGTCCTGACAATGAATAATTTTAAGAATCGTTTTATTAAATCATTTCATATAGCGGGAACACTGACGTAAGAAGTCTGATGTTGAAGGAAATGTACATCGATGATTTTTAGTAAACCGGAAAGGGATGCATTCATTTTGTACGTAAACACGGTTTCGATAACAAGGTTTTTTCTGATCGACTCAGGGAGGAGGGAATATGTCATACTCGTAACTATACCGAATTAAAGCTTGCGTACTTCAATATCGATTAATGGTGTCGATCTAATGGTTTGAAATCTGTCAAAAGATAAAGTACGCCTATTGGAATATAGCGATCACTTTAATACATGTGGCCAATATTCCCACTCAGATGAAGGGTAGATTATTCACTGCATTGGTCTCCTATTTTGATTCTATAAGCCGATTATAAATTAATTTAGCTGAAGGGCAGAGTTTTCAAGGTCTAATACAAAATCATAACGTTTTTAGTACATTCAAATATTATTTTGGTGAGAGGGATGATTTGGGAACAGATATGATCAAAATTTGTTAACCGTTGGCGCACTTGAATGTAGCAACAATAACGGGGAATTAAGTAAAAATACACGAAAGCTCAATATTGGCTCTTTTTATAAAGTTTTCACTCAAACGCTCAATAAACTCGGAACAGTAAAGAATTATATTCCAATTTCAGCATAGCC